ATAGGGGACAAATTATTATGACCTCGAATGATTGGCACTTTGATTACTTCTCCCAATATTTGAAGACGTTGCGAATGTTCGCATGGATTCGTCGTTTTATTCATAATACAAAGAATAGGGACGATAAACGCGCGGGGGAGTTAACCTTGGAGGAAGTTGACAAAGCCGAAGTATTTGTGCTTAAAGTGATACAGCAAGAGTCATTTACGAACGAAAAAGACAATAGATTATCGGGAATGAACGCTTTTAAGGATGAGCATGGACTAATTCGCTTACAGTCGCGTATTAGTAATAGAAATGACCTAGAGTATTTTCGGTTTCCTATAGTTTTACCGGCAAAACATTTTTTAGTGAATAGGTTGTTATTCCGGGAACATGTTAATTCGTGTCATATTGGAACTCAAGGACTCACGAGTATCGTGCGCGAGCGATATTGGATTTTAGGTGGTCGACGGGCGATAAAATCAGCCATCATTAAGTGTATCGTCTGCAAAAGGCATAACGCGGTAGCATTCGAAACGACGGGCGTAGATTTTGCGGGACCGCTTTACCTAGCCACCGGAGGAAAAGCATGGATATGTCTTTTTACGTGTGCCGTATATCGTGCTGTACATGTCGAACTTTGCACCTCGTTGTCAGTCGTCTGCTTCATGCAGGTTCTAAGACGTTTTATTGCCAGACGTGGTCGTCCGAAGACTATATACAGTGATAATGGAACTAACTTTGTCGGAACTGAGAACGCGTTTTCTCGAGTAAACTTTCAAAAAATAGCTGAGAACAGTATTAATGAGCGTATCTACCCCATGGAGTGCCCAGCAGATTTTTCTCAGATGCCAGGCAATGACCGAACGGACAACACGGGAGAGACCGAAGACAGAGGATCTCGTTTAAGTTTATGTGAAGGCGCGGAAGTGAGTGCCTCCGAAAACGACGCGGAAACGGGAGTGTCTGAAAGCAGAGTACTCGAAACGAAAAAAAATTGTTACGCGAAGTGGGCGCAGCGTCAAAACTCCTGTGCGATACGCTAACGAGTAGATTTAGTTTTTGCTTAATTATATTTTGAATTTTGTCTGTTATGGTTTTATGTTATTTGCTGTAGTTTTGTTTACTTTTGTGCCAATATTAATATTGTGAGCCATGTTTACTTTTGTAAAATGCCTCAGGTGGGAGGATGTCACAGCCATTTGATAATTATTTTGTTTGTATACCGCTTTAAATGCTGAAGTTAAAAATCTCTTATTAAAATTCAAAGAAAGCTTTAGCTATAAAACCTTTTTAAATCATAACAATCTTTCCACTTGTCGGCAATAATTTTTATATTTTATCGCCATCACTTCAATTTATTTTCTTTATTTTAACGCGTAAGTGGTGTAATAAAAATTGATGAGGTTCTCACAGTTGACTAAGACTCTGAGGGCTGAACGGTCGATGTATCCGTGGCGTAGATTTTTTAATTTTGTGTATGTATAGATTGATGCTTATAAGTGATAATTTTGTTACATCATTTTTTAAAAGCACGCGATATGTTTTGTTGGGAACTGGCAAATATAGATTTTCAATAATTTTGAAGTTTAATTTTGTAATATACGAACCGTGTATTTTATACGCAAATTCGGGTAGAATTGCGTTGGTACACACTTGACAGTGGTTACTCTGTTTGCTCGCTTACAAAAACAACACCTTTTTCTTATTTTTGCTGGTGGCTCTTCATCAACCTGTGGCTGAGATATTCTATATTTTTAGAAAGAAAGTTTTGAATATCAGATAGAAAACTTTTCCTTTCTGCCTTTTCTAAGAGATATTTCTAAAAGATATCAGAGACATAGCTAATGCTTTTAGGTAACGTCGTCGGTGTTTCTCTGAATTTTTATGATGAACAACGTAATATAAAATTTGGCTATTTATACCGGCTGTTTATTACTAGGATATTAATAGACTGGCAGTATGCCTTAATAACACTATATAGCGAAACATGCACATTAACACTGAGATAAAGTCAAGAATTTATAAAGCCAGTGCAAGACCAATAATGACATATGCCTCAGAAACAAGACCCTACAATGCAAAAGCTACTCGTCGCCAAGTCTACGCCGAACGCTTTCTGCTAAACCAGACCCTCCGCTGTCATCCAGCGATCCGGAAGCGAAATGGCCTCTGTAAGGCAGGCATCGCTTCGGAAGCACTACCTTTATTCATTCATTCTCCATTCATATACATCCACACTCTATTCATCAGCAAGGAGGCTCCCTGTCTCGTTACAAGTAGTACGTAGAATACCCTTATCGCTCCTAGCACGGCATTTCACTAATGAAAAGCTGAAAGAATATCACTAATGGCCATCTTCTAGACCTTCGAGATACTGAATATAACCCACACATTTTATCGACAGCATGAACTTCACCGCTGCGAAAGTTATAGTATAAAATAATTATAGGTTTGTTGGTATCGGGATCGATAGAAGAATCGCTGTGCATTGTGGAAAACAAAATTACTGCCTTGTTTCATTTTGGGACGTACTAAAAACATTCTTTTGAAACCCAAATTTGGGTTTCAAAAGATGAAACCTGAAGATGATCCTGTAGATCCTTCTTTATTTGGTAGAAGATCCAATGGAACTTTCCTTTTATTCTTTTTTAATGTTACAATTATTATTACTTTTTTTCTTAAAAGCTCTTTTGCTAAAGGGTAGTTTGTAGTTGTCGCAAGGTAAGTTTAAGTTTTTGCCTGCCCATAGATCTATCAATCGCAGTGTAATAGCAGTTGGAGTATTTTTTCAAAAATTGTTCTAAGATAATGTGATAATGATGAAATACGGCCGAAACTCGGTCACAGCAAACACATTTATTAGCGAAGGAAGGGGGAATGCCGGCCACTCGTAACCAAAATGATGTTAGAAATGAAAGAGAGATAAAATGAAACCGCATGACATACTCTTTATTTTAATAATTAAGTGTTATTAAGTTATTAATAAAAAATGGTTTAGAAGACTCTCTCTCTCTCTCTTCATTCCCCTCTCTCTCTCTAATTGCACTACAGATTAAGCCGGGCCGTGATCTCTCGCAGTATCCCTCCCCACAGCTGTTCTATCCACCTCTTCTTTGGTCGTTCTACTGGCTGATGAGTGATGTCCTACCATAGTTTCACTAAGCGTTCTACTAAAGAGAGTTTCGCAGTCACTTTGCAGTAGGAGCAGAATAGGGCTATGTAAATCTTATGCTCGTTTTAAGTAGTAACGTAGTAGGAAACACTTTAAGTCCATCTAAACAGAATATTCCAGAATTCCCAAACATCTTGATTTGAAAATCTGTGTTTGGGTTTTATTATTTTTAACTTATTCATATATTCATATATATTATGAAAGGTATTTATACGATATTAACGATATAGCATTTGAATATTATAATTAACCTATGATTATTATTTTCTAATGCTTATAAGCTTTCTTTGCTTATTCATGTAAATTACTCTGATAATTTTTCGACTGTTCTAACAACCATTCAAATTTCGTTATTTTGTGTCATGTGGAACAATTTCACCCAATCATGTCAACATTAGACTGATAATTGCATTCAGTGCAATTTTCAATCCCTATGATAACACGATCGAGTTTGACAACTTCATCCAAATAAATTTCAAAATGTCACGTTTATAAATACAACAAGATTATAAATATTATGCGTGGTAATAGATCTTCTATAGTAGAGAACAGCAACGAATCTAATGTTAACTTAAATTTAAATAATTGTACTTTTACTAACTGTACTTTTAATAACTAAATGTTTCGTTATGTTGAGTTATGATTTTTTTTTTCGAAAAATTATTCGCCGAATATCCCTCGGACATTGATGAATGCCTCATAATTTCGTGACAGATTTCTCAAGCTCGTTGCTTGGTAACAGCACTCAGCCTTCGGCTTCGTGCTGTTACCAAGGAACGAGCTTTCGATTGTCATGAAATTATCTCGTCTGTTATCAATGTCCTAGGGATATTACTACTGAAAATTAGTACGATTTAAGTGCATGCGTTCCTTTAACCTAAATTGCTGTTAAATCCTTACGACTATATTACTGTACTATTTAGTAACTTCCTTTATACAGCCTAATGTTTATCGGAGAGAATAATATTAGTGTAGACAAGAAAAATTATATTTAAGAGTTTATGTTAAGAAAATTGCAAGTCCGTATTTATTAATGTATGCTTTTAAATTTTTATTCAACAATAGTCATTGTGTTTTTTTTTATTTTATCATGAATACAGGGAAAGGCATTTACGTTGGGGAAAAACAGATGTTGATAAATCTGGTGAATTATCGATTTGCCACAACTGTTAAATAACAATTTCAGTGGAACATACAATGTGATAGACTGTCCACTGTAGTCAACAGCAAGATCGACAGCGAAAATACAACACAACGGAAATAATCTCTAATAGAAGACATTAGTAGAACAATAGACTTTCTCAAACATTGTAAACTGTGTAACAAACTGTAAAATTTCACAAAATGTTTGTATTTTTCAAAACTGCTGTTGTAAAAAAGTTTTTCTAAATTAAAAATAAACCATCCTACTAATAACCCTAAAAAGGTATGTTTACAGATTATTGCTGGCATTAAGACCAGCGACAAACTATCGCACCTCTTATCTTATATTATATCTTTGTCGCATATAAAAATTTTTGTGTTTTATCTCTTTTTCAATGTTTTAAAAATAATAAAAGTATTTATACAAATATTTTCTGAATTCAACGATTGTTTTGTAGAGCAGTGTAACTAAAACGTAAAATACAACAAGAAAATACTCCAAAACAACATTTTCTTTGTCCTATTTATCATTTGAAACACAAGGAATATGTTCCGAACGTCTCGACATCCAATTAAAATAATTAATTCCGCTCGTAAATTATTAATGCAATCACATCGAGCACGAAGTGCACCGGCACTGACTAAGACTAAAAAGGAAACCGCGAGATACAATACCATCATATTTCCAGATAAACATTCCGAGTTTATCAAACCTTGTTGTATCGTTATTATGACTAACACATCACAAAAAAGTTGACGTCACTTTGTGACACACACCAGTTGATACAAACTCGCCTATTGCTATTCATTTGTTTAATAAGTAAAACAAACCAAAGCAGGTACCGGCGTCTTACCTGGTTGGGTCCACATAGTTTCATTTTCATTAACATACGAGTAGAAATCCGTTGGTGTTAGTATCCTACAAGTTTTTTAACCGGTAAAATGATCAGCAATATTAGAAAAGTAACTAACGACTTTCTGGATAATGAAAGGAATATTTTTGGTGAAGTGGGCTGTGTGCAAAATGAAAGTGAAGGTATGGAAATTTTGTTGTTAATATATTTTTTTAAAGATACCTAAAACATATTATTCTTTGTACTTAATACGTTGCTATGTTAACAATTTAATAATAAAAAAACAGTATTTTCGTTAATAGCGATATAAATAGTATCCGACTCGATTCATGTACTTTTACTGATAAGATTAAAGTTATATATGTATCTTATTCCAGTGCAGTGTCAATTAGATTTTTTTAAATAAGTAGGTATGTGGTATGCTGCCCAGCTAACTAAAAGCGCCGTAACTAACAATAGTAGGATTTTGAGAAAACTCGACATACAGTTTAGAAGGATGTTGAAATTTTGAATATGAAGATATTTTAGTTATTAATTGTTTATTTTTCAAGTCATCATCATCATCACTGGCTCGACAACCCTTTTTGGATCTTGGACTGTTCAAGGATTCTTCTCCATTCTGACCTGTTTCGTGCTTTTTTTTTCCAGTTTTGAATTTTTAATGTTGTTATATCATTTTCTATTTGTTCTACGTATCTCAGCTTCGGTCTTCCTCTTGTTCTTTTTCCTACTGGCACTTGTTTGAATATTTTGTTTGGTATTTCGCCTTCTTCCATTCTTTCCACATGTCCAATCCAACGTAGCCTTCCTATTTTAATGAGTGTTATGATATCCGGATCCTGGTATATGTTGTATAGTTCAAAGTTATACCTTCTCCGCCAAATCCCGTTTTCTTTTGTGCCCTTATATATGTGTCGCAAGATTTTTCTTTCAAAGGCGGCTAATAACGTTTCCTCCCTTTTAGAGAGTGTCCAGGTTTCTGAACCGTATGTGAGTACCGGTTTTATTAAGGTTTTGTATATTTGGCATTTTGTTTTTCTGGAGATGTTATCTGATCTTAGTTGCCTAATTAAGCCATGGTAACATTTATTGGCAATAAATATTCTCCTCTTCACTTCCTCTGCAACGTTGTTATCAGACGTAACTAGGGATCCTAAGTATGTAAAGTTTTTTACTGCCTCAATGTTGTATTCTCCTATTGTTAAATTTGGCAGCTGCCTTATTTGTGCGTTTTTATTTGCAGGCATATATTTTGTTTTTGTCTGATTGATTTTAAGACCACTATTTTTTGCAGCTCGTTCTATTTGAGTGAATGCCTCTATTATTTCTCTTCTTGATCTTGCGATTATGTCAACATCATCTGCAAATGCTAGTACTTGCACGCTTTTATTAATTATTGTTCCTCGGGTATTAACTGTTGTGTCTCTTATTATTTTTTCAAATATGATGTTGAATAATATGCATGATAGAGCGTCTCCCTGGCGTAGTCCCTTCTTCACATCTATTGTTTCCGTTAATTCGTTTTGTATCCGGATTTTACTTTCTACTTTTAGTGTTTCTTTTATCAATTCTATTAGCTGTGTTGGTATATTAAATTCTTTCATTGCTTTTGTTAGGAATTCTCGGTTTATATTGTCATATGCGCTTTCGAAGTCTATGAAGAGATGATGTGTGTCGATGTTATATTTACTTGTTTTTTCAAGGATCTGTCGCAGAACAAATATCTGGTCTATTGTTGACTTCTGTCTACAGAAGCCACATTGGTATTTGCCAACTATTTTTTCAGCGTATGGTCTTTCATACATTACGTTGGACATTATTTTGTATGCCGCATTCAACAGCGTGATTCCACGGTAGTTTTCACATTCTAACTGTTTTCCTTTTTTATGTAGTGGTACAATAATGCCGCTATTCCACTCCTTTGGTAGCTGTTTATTCAACCATATATTTCTTATCAGCTCATGTATGGCTTTAAGTAATGCGTCTCCTCCTTCTTTCAGTAGCTCCGATGATATTTGATCCGATCCCGGTGATTTATTGTTCTTTAATTTGTCCACTGATGTTCTAATCTCTGCTATTGTTGGTGGACTATTTTCTCTGTTGTCTGCTTGGTCTAATGGTATATCAGGGTTCATCTCCGTCCTATTCACCCAAGCTTTTCCTTAAAATGTTCTGTCCATCTTCTAAGTATCTCTTGCTGTTCTGTCAATATATTACCCTCCTTATCTTTACACATCGTTGTTCTCGGTTTGAACTCTTTTCTGCTTTTGTTGAGTTTCTGGTAAAATTTTCTTGTCTCTGTTGGTTTACTTAGTTTTTGTAGTTCTTGAAGTTCTTTGTTGATATATTCTCTCTTCTTTTTTCGGTGAATTTTCTTTTCTTCTTTACGTAGTTGTTTATATTCTTCCTCTGCTTGTCGGGTTCTGTGCCTCTGTTGCACCTGTAGATATGCTCTGTTTTTTCTTTCTGTTATAGTTTGACATTCTTCGTCAAACCAGTGATTCGTTCTTGTTCTTCTTTCTTTACCTTCCATGCCCAACACCTCTTTAGCTGTTTCTTTTATGATTTCTCTGCACTCTTCCCACTCCTCATTTAGGTTTTCATGTTTTGGTCTGTTTTCTAGTTTGATGCTTATATTTTCTTTGTACTCTCTATTTTTGTTTGTTTCTTTGAGTTCTTCTATATTGTATCGTTCATGTTTAGAGTCTCTTTCCTTTTTGATGTTTGAAATTCTAGCCCTTATCCTACTTTCGACCAGGTAGTGATCAGAATCCGCATTTGCCCCTCTTCTGGTACGGACGTTTATTATATTCGATTGGTGTCTTAAGTCTACAATAACATGATCTATCATATTCATTGTAAGTCCGTCTGGTGATTTCCAAGTGCCTTTGTGTATATCTTTTCGAGCGAAGTATGTGCTGGCAATCACCATGTTAAGTGATCTTGCTAGGTTTACCAACCTATTGCCATTGTCATTTGATTGCTCATGGAGACTGTGCTTACCTATTGTGGGTTGGAATTGCTGCTCTCTTCCAACTTTTGCGTTTAAGTCTCCATAAATTATTTTTATATCACTTTTTGGGCATGACTGGTATGCGGACTCTAATTCATCATAAAACTCTTCTTTGACTTCCTCTTTTGTTTCTTCTGTGGGGGCATGCGCATTAATTAGGCTGTAGTTGAAGAAACGTCCTTTAATTCTTAAAATACACATTCTGGGACTGATGGCTCTGAAGTCTTTTATTATATGTCTTACTCTCTTGTTAACTATGAATCCAGTGCCCAAAATGTGATCTTTAGGAGCGCAGCTGTAGAAAATGGTATGGCTCTTTTTTCCATAATATTGTTTCCAATCCACCTCATTTCTTGTATGGCAGTTATGTCAATTTTGTATCTACTTAGTTCGTTTAAGAGATTTTGGAGAGCCCCTAATCTGTACAATGTTCGAACATTCCATGTTGCAACCCTCAAATCGTGTTCCTTTTTCTCGCACAGTCGCCGTCGTTTAATCAGTCCGGCTTTTCTTCCTTGAACGTTCATAACTCATGGTTTTTCTAGGAGAAGGTAGTTAACCTTCAGCCCAACCCCCTATTCGTCGGAGGACCAAGATTCCCTTCTTCGTCAGCCCTGACCCCACCTTCCATTGGGGGTTGGTTACCCAATCTCCAGTGGGGTTGCTCAGGTTACCGGTGTGTACCAGCTTGGAGGTGAAGATAGGAATTGAGTAGGAGAGGCTAAGTGACGCCAACAGGATACGGCATCATATGTTGCGCTTCACTACCCCTTCACACACCTTATTTTTCAAGTATATTGAAAAAAAAATGGCTATATTTTCCGTATGTACTGCTATACATTTTTAATAGTTTGTTGAAAGAACACAGCATTTAGATATTTTATAATCTATTAATGTAAGAAAAATAAACTTAATGTACAGTGTTAGGAATGGATTAACTTAACATATTTTCTAAAAAATATAAGCAATACTTTTACAGAAGTAGAAGGAATGTCACAATGGGTTCAGTCTTTTGGCTGAGATGTTTGTAGGCAAGTCTTTTCAAAAATGTTTTCGATTTTCTGCCAGTACTTCGTTTAATGACCATTAATGACTGAAGGATATTTTTCTTCTTATATTCTGGCAGTGGCGGCTGGTGTGGTAAAATTTTGGGTAGGCCAAGCCAGCAAATTACATATAGCTATGTCTAATCACTGGCGGACCAGAGGAAGGGTCACAGGGTCATGACCCACCCCTTAAAAATATTTGAAAATCCACTTATCCTATTGGTGGTAAGACTAAAAATAACTTTGCATCAGAGAAAAGTAATCACCCTCAAGATCCATGATTTTCTTTTACATACATGCAAATATAAATTTATTTTTATTTATAAAAATACTTAAAATTATAAGGTAACTGTAACAGACTTACATTTAATTATGTTATTTGTAAACTATTTGTTTATAAATAAAATTATGAACTAAAATATACACGTAGATTACAAAAACATTTTATTATTTATAGAGCAGGTTTATTCTTCTCTCTTTGCTTTGTGCAAATTTGTCAATTACTCGTTCATAAAATGTGTAAATATTGCCAATGGTGCAGAATCTCTCACTAATTTTTGAAGTCCATTAAGTTGTCCCGACATAACACTAGCTCCATCGTAGGTTTGAGCAATTAATTTAGCTTTACAGTCAAATTTACCGATTACACTAAACAGTAAGTCACGTAACGCTGGAGCACTTCGGTCTTCCCCGAGATCAAAAAAACCTAAGAAATATTCTTGAACAACGCCTTTTGTGTCCACTAGTCTGCATACTATTGAACATTGTGCCCTTTCAGTAATATCGGTTGTTTCATCAACAATGCATGCAAAAAATGTGGAGTTGTTGATGGCATTCTCGATAAAAATATGAATTTCGTCTTTCACTAGATCGATTAGTTCGTTTTGTATCGTTTTTGAGATACCTCTGAAATATACTTTTTTCTGCCAGTGATCATTTAGTTCTGGAGTTGATTTTAATATTAATTCCCAAATTGCTTTAAAATTTCCAGGATTTAGGGAATCATCGGATTCGTCGTGGCCACGGAAAGCCAGTTCCTGTTTCGCTAAAGTACAAGTTAAAGAAACTAATTTTTTAATGGTTTCTCTGTTCATTGTAACTTCTGCATTGTATCTAATTTTTG